GATGTTACTATTCTCACAGAGAGGTCTCTCTTGATGCTCCCCTCCCAGGCCTTACTCACCTCCTCCTCTCAAGTGTGTGTGTCGTTCATCACACATTCGTGTTTATCTGAGGCTCTCTGTTTTGGCTAGAATGTGTGTTCTGTAGGAATGTGCAGTTTGAATTTTTTTTCAGTACCGCAGCCATGATTTCTAAAGTGCAGCTGTACAATGGGTAGATGAATTGAAGGGCAGACAGCTGTTGGGATGTGTGGACAGATGCTTGGAGAGGCGGGAGAAGGTTTGTCCTAGAGGTTTGTCATCTCATCACAGTGACAGCTACTCTCGGAGTTCCCAGTAGACCTGCTCTGCCTCCTGCCTCCTTGCCTACAGATACAGATTGATTTCTTCATAGCCATTGGTTGAAAGCAGGGGCTTGCACTCCAGTATGGGCTTGTTCACTCTCTGGGGCTAAAGTACTGGATCTTGATCCCCAGAGATACCTACTGCAGTAGGTGTTCTAGTTTGATTTTTGTTGCTGCAATAAACACAACAAATGGCGACTCACAGAGTCAAGCATTTCAGCTTATATTTCTGTAGAATAATCCTTCTTTGAGGGAAGTCAGGACAGAAACTGAAGCAGAGACCATGGAGGAACACCGCTCATTGCTCGGCTCTCCAGCACATTCTCTGCTAACTCTCTGCCCAAACCCACCCGTCGAGAGAGATGGCGCTGCCCACGGTGGCCTGGGCCTTCTCACACCAGTGGTCAGCCAAGACAGTTGCTCAGGTCATGCTGGTGGAGGCAGTTCTGAAGTTACCACTTCCCAGGTGAATAGGTTGTACCGAGTTGACAATAAAAACGAACCAGCATACTAGGTGTGTGATTCTCCACCCTTCCAAGCCTACCCGAGAATGGGCTAATTTTATAGCACATGTTTTTGCAACCACAACAATAATGAGCTATCACTTAGACTTATCCTGACCTCCAGCATAAGGATATGCATGTTTATAAAGATGTGTGTGTGTGTGTGTGTGTGTGTGTGTGTGTGTGTGTGTGTGTGACATGCGCTCAACCAGCACTAGGTAAACAGGGATTCTCTGTCCTCCCTCCCTCCCTCCCTCCCCTCCTCCATTCCTCCCTCCCTAGTAAGCTCTATTTCTGTGAGCTGCTTGTCTCCAAGACCCCACACAGGTCAAGGTCCATGAGGCCATGGGTTAGACATTAGGGGACTGTATCTAGGTCTCAAAGCCAAAGGGAGAATGGTCTCCCAGAGAGGAATTGAGGAAGAGTAGGTGCTTAGGTCTAGGTCCAGGATGATACCTCAGAGGCACGTGCACAGCGAACTGACCGAGCTGACTGTATTCATAAAGAGTCACCTGTGAGACCCAAAGTCTGATTCCCTTGCTGGAGATGTGCTGAGCAAACTGTTATCACCAAGCCCATAGATGTTCTCAAGATTGCTATGACATTCTAGCGGGGCTCATTCTCCACCAGGAGATCTTCTCTGAAAAGCAGGCGCATCTCTGGGTCTGAAGCCAGAACATCCCTCTTCCCTGAGCAAGCCATCAGAACAACAACTAATGTTTCTTCCAGACTCCTTACTGGTCACTTCTGTCCTTGGGTACTCTATCCAGGACATGGTACTCTCCAAGCTTATCTCAGTGGTCGCAGTTCAGGTCAGCTATTCCCAGAGATGAAATGGCTGAGGGAGATTTTTCATGGGGGATGGATGGATGGATGGATGGATGGATGGATGGATGGATGGATGGATGGATAGTTGCCTCCTATAGTGCTGGGTATAAGCAAAAGGGAAACTTCCCACTGCTGCTACCTGTGTGGGGAGAGGCCTGGGTACACATTAGATTCCAGAACTCTAAGCTGGGGCTGAAGAGACTGGCTCCTCCTGGCTCATGTTATGCCAAGCACTGTGAGCAGCTCCATCTGTCAACCCCGAGCTGAGATCCTGGTCTGATGCCAGCTCAGGACCAGCTTGGGAAGGAGTCTCAGCTTCCTGGCCATTGTCTATTGGGAGCACACCCAGTGTGTTCCTACAGTGACCTGGAGAGGCTTAGAGTGAGGAGGGAGTGCGGGAGGGGGGTTGGCGGGGAAAGGAGCCCCGCCAGAACCTGGTAAGGGTGGGAGACAGGAAGTGAGAGAGGAAGACTTGGTGTTTTTCCTTATTTGTGTTTTTATATTAAAGAAAACAAATAATATCCTTTGAAAAACCCTATTAAACAAAGCATATCCTGAAGGTCCCAGCGGCCCATTGTGGCTGCCTGGAGCCTGGAATCCATTCACACATTTTTGGCTAGATTGTTACAGGCTAGAAAGACCGGAGAGGGAGGGAAGGGCCATCATTAAAATAGTTTAAAATGACTTTTGCTCCCTGGACTCCATAGAAGTCTGTGCCAAATAACCATAACTCCAAGATCTCATGTCTGCCTGGTTCAGTGTCCTCCCATCACCTCTCTGGGAAGCTCCATCAAACTGGCCAGTCTGAGTGTAACCAGGGGCACCAATGTCTTCCACCTTGCCCCGTGAAGGAAGGCTAAAGGAAGAGTAGTGAAAGGAGCTGCAGCCCATAGAACTGCCATCTCTCGCTTACTGCTTAGCTTCTCTGGGCCTTGATCTCCTTGTCTACCAAGTGAGGCTTGGGGACAGATGGCCCCCTCTTGCCATCTCCAGTATTCCTGTATCTAAGGCTCCTTCTCACCTTGTTCATGCCTAGACAGTATGAGAAACTGTAGGTCTCTCAGGTATCCCAGGGCCCGGACTGAAACCCTCCCCTTAGATATCCAAGATACCCCTAGATCCCACCACTACACTCCAGCTGCCCAGGATGGAGTGGCAGTGCTCCTGGTCATATCCCCCACATGGACACATTTGCATGTCCAGTGTGCAGACCAGCTTCTGCGAATAATCCTACCTGAGCATTTGGTAAGATTGACATTGCATATAAGGAGATCTTTCCCCAACCTTGATGTCAGTCCATAATCCTTATAATCGTAAGGACAGTGTGCAAAAGCAACCCTAGAATTTTCCCCAGACCCTCATTTGAAGTCTAGAAGACAATCAGCTCTTCGCATGTTTTCCCTAAATACTTCCAAGGTAAAGGAATTACTTGAGGGATTTGGCCCTAGGATTAGGAGTCATCTCGTGCTCAAGGCTTGGGCTTGGCACACTCATCTCAGGTCTTCTCAGTGACCTATGGTAGAGGGTGATGATATGCCTAACTGGAGATTGGAAAAGAACCTGTCTCCTTCCTACAACCATTGGTCATGTACCTGACCCTCTGGGTGACAGGGGAACCTGTCAGCTCTCTGGTTTAGGACTCCATAGGAAGGGCCCCCTGGTCTGTTTTCACAGAATCAGTCCTTAAAGAATCCCCAAAGAAAAGGATAGGAAGGTGTTGGTGGCCGTGGCTCGGCAGCCCCTCTCTGCAAAACCTTGGACTATTCATTCAGCCTTGGCCTGAACGACAACGTATTTGAGATCTTGGACATGATGAATTCTGAGGGCTCCCGCTAGTTCCCCTATTCTTTGAGTCCTGACTTCTAAGCATCCTTCCTTGGTAGGGATTCATTTGTTTCCATTTTCTGGTGTGACTAGATGGTCAGAATCTGGCCTCTCATGTCAGTAACTGTGGTGTTAGACACACTCTGCTCTTTTGCAAAAATAATTCATGGCCTCTCTTTCGCTTTGCCACAGGGCTACCATCCGATGCCCCATGAAGCAGAGATTGCACATACCAAGAAGTTGTTCCGAAGGAGGAGAAACGACCGAAGGTAAGAAAGACTTTCAATTGCTGTCACTTTTTCCTGGGTCGGCTGCTGGACACATTAGCTCTGGTCTATGCTGCAATAGGACTTATACCTGCAAATGAGGTGTTCACCTTTGAGGTGATGTTGAGAGTACAGTGGGCTTGGTTGTGTGGAATCTGTGTGTCTGTGCTTGGCCCAGGGACTAGGTCCCTTCAGAAGACCAGCAGAGGGCCACCGTCTCCACTCCTTCCTGGGAGCGAGTATTACTCAAGATTTACAGACATGCTCTCTTTCCATAAACCAAAGCTGCAGCATGCTCAAGGAACAGAGCCCTCAGGCTGCATGTTTAGAGGCATGGCCTCCAGGAGGCTCCCCAAGCTCACAGATTCAAAGGCAACCCTCTGGGTTTTTTTGTCATTAGGAATTGTCCTGTGTATTAGCCACACTTTGCAGTGACCCTCACCGTCCAGAGTAGTAACCAGGGGACAGGAAAAACATGGTGAGGTGACTTGTGTCAGAGCAAGCAACCAAGATTGAGCATCCAAGAAATGCATGTGTGCTGTCTACAAGGCTTTCTCATGTGGAAAGGTCTTCTTGATATAGTTCACATGAAAAATTCCAGATGCAGAGTCATACTGTGTGCAGCCATTTGTACTTAAGGAGGAGTGGGATTTTTTTTTTTTTGCTTGAATGTGCAAAAAAATATTTCAGGATGGAAATCTTTAAAAAGACAGAATAAAAAGGCTTATGCCTGAGGAATTAAAATGAGGTGTTTCCCTATAGGGAATTTATTCTTAGACCAAGGTGATGGCTCGTGCGTGGCTTTACCTTTAGTAAACAGAGTGTGTTCTTTAAGAGACAACAAATAGCCAGCTACATCCTATACTCAGAACCCTAGGTGCACCTGCCCTGGGTGCTGCATGACCACAGCTGGAGCTGCTGGGCTTCGGCCAACCTGGGCCTCTGACCCCTCGCTCTGCATAGAAATCCTGAACTGGGAAGTAGTAGGTGGGTGGAAGACGGATACCCAGAATGCCTGTCATCCAGTAGTAGATTTTCTATTTCTGAAAACATTTTCGGGGGAAATGAGTGTCCGGCTAACTGGGAGGCAGTCTGTCCTAATTGAGGACTGGGAATCAATAGGCATCAGAAGAGGAAACTGAGTCAGGAGAGCTGGGCTAACCCTTGACCCTTCCCTGACCAGGGCACAGTTGATTGCCTGCTCTGTGCCTCCTGTGTAGCATTACTCAGAACAGTTCTTGGGTTCTGGGTTCTGAACAAATGAAAGAAATAAGGAACACCCCTCAAAGGAGAAATGTTTACAAGGGCCGGGAAGGTGTCAGAGAGAGCAGAAGGCCTTCTGTCCTTCCTCCCCAGTGTGTGTCGCAGAGAGATGCCAAGACTCTCCAAGCTTACTAATGAGAAGGCTTCTCTGGGCCAAGGCACTGGCATCCATGTCAGCCCACATGTCACTTTTTGAGTCAGGTCACCATGCTCCACAGGAGTCTCCTAGACGGGGCAGGCCACCGGAAATGACATGACCCAGGAATGTCGAGAGGGAGTGTGCATGGCATAGGGAGGACCAGGAAGCTGGACGTTCACTCATCCATACTCATGGTAGTGAGTGCTCTGTGTAGGTCAATGCACTTCACAAAGGATGTAGGCCGGGCCAGCGTCCAAAGAGATGCAATAAAGTTTATTAAAGGGACAGAACGTATGTCCTGTCAGGGGGGCTGGAGGACTGGGGCCAGGGTCGAGAAAAGAGCATCCTCATGGTGAAACCCATGAAAGATTTACGTGGAAGCACCAGTGGCAGCTGCCTGTGTTTACACGGAGGGAACATCTTGGCCACTGGAGTCAGACTGCAGCTCAGGGTAGCAGACACACACAGCTGAAGTATGTGCCAGACAAGGAACCAGTCAGAAATATAACACATCCGTTTATCACTTGGGGCGGGGGGGGGGGGGGGGGTGTCCTGCTATAGAGCACCCATATGGTAGATATTTTCAGGAGAGAGCAGGTAACAATGTAGCTGAAAGATTTTATTATATAAAAGCTGGGGAATTTCTGAGTCTTTCTTGGGAACTGTGGTGATTCAGGCATTCACAGATCAGCTATCCATGAATCACCAAGTCCACCCCAGCTCTCCCAACAGAAGACCCTCCATAGCGGCCTCGTTAGGTACCAAGCCTGTGTACTTGACACTGGCCTCGCTGGCATTTAAATCATAAATCACGCTGAGAAGGTGGGAGAGGACCAGAATCAACTATGGTAACCTAGGAACACAGCCAGCATCCATACAATACCTCAGATCTTACCGTTTGTCATGAGAAAGGAAGTGGCCAGCCACATCCTGCTGGTATCCCTGTGACTCACCTTAGAATGCCTGCAGGAGTCTTTGGTCTTCTGTCTCCCTACAGAGTGACTGGAATTGGGTCTGACTGCTACAGACCCCATGGCAAATTGCTATGCCTGGAACTGAGTGGTCCAGCCAGAACAGGCATTCTCACAACAGGGACCTAGCATCCTCATCCGCACAGCAGTCTGCCACCTGTCCTAATCCTGCGTAGCTCTCTAGGTGTCTCTGTGTGCCTTGCTGCGCTTCTCTCCCCCGGTTCAATTTGGAGGCATTAGGTAGCTAAATCATGAAGCAGTGCCCTGGAACTAGGGGCTGGATAGGGCGAGTTGCTTCATTTATTAAAGGTGTGTACATGTGTATTCACGTGTGCATATACCTATGTGTATGTGTATGATGTGTGTGTATACACATGTGTACCCTTAAAAGCCAGAGGCATCAGCTCCTCCTGGAGCCAGAGTTACAGACAAGGATGAGCTTCCCACCATGGGTGCTTGGAACTGAACTCCGGGACCTCTGGATGAGCCGTCAGTGCTCTTAACTGCTGAGCCATCTTTCTATCCCACCCCGCCCCCACAAGATACTTCAGTTCTTGAAAACTGTGGTTTTTTCTTCCATAAAATGTGTTCAATACTTGAGAGGTTTGCACAAGCTCGTTCCTTTATAACATCTGAGTGGTCTTTGCAGCAGTGTGCTCTCCAGGTCAGGGGAGCTGTAAAGGGCACAGAAAGTACTTCTCATCACTGTCTTCAAAGTCTAACCTCATAATCATGGCATCCCCTAACCCAGAACAGTGACAGTAGGTAGGCAGAGCCCCTGTAAAGAAGCAACCTAAGGCTCAGCTCCCATCCACATAGGCTGCTTTCAGGAGCTCTGATTAAAACTAAGTTGTGCCTGGCTGTTCCCCTATTTTGCAAAAAGGAATTAACCACCAGAACAGCTTAAAGGTTTTCTCCTTAAGAATTTTCTCAAGGGTGAGAGAGATGGCTCAGAGGTTAAGAGCACTGACTGTTCTTCCAGAGGTCCTGAGTTCAATTCCCAGCAACTACATGGTGGCTCACAACCATCTATAATGAGATCTGGTGCCCTCTTCTGGTGTCCAGGCATACATGCTTGTAGAATACTGTATACTAAATAAGTAAATCTTAAAAAAAAAAAAAAAAAGAATTTTCTCAAAATTTCTCAAAAATCAACTGATAACCACCTGCTTATTTTGGGGGAAGAGGGACTGATAAAATATGACAGATGTCAGATAAAAAATATGAAGTACATGAATATTCTATGCATTCCCTAGGAGTAACCTGGTTTTGCGTGCTCCATCTCTGCCAGGTAGGAAGTGGATAGTTGAGAAGCTCTCTGCCCAACCCCAGCATCCAGGAAGAAGAAATTCACTAAGGGGCTGAGGTCTGGGCTCATAGCGTCTGTTTAATTCAGTGGGTTTCCTTATCCCTGTGGGAGGGGGAGGAGTTCTGCAGGCTCCTCCCACCCTACCCCCACCCTCACTCCCCTTGCCCCTGCTCTATTTTAAGAGATGAAGGTCTCACTGTAGTGAACAAACACTGTGTGCCACAGTATCTACAGCCTGGGGAACAGACTCCAGGGTGAGGGCAAGCTTTGGAAGGCATGCTGTGGAAGGGGCAAGAGGCAGCAGGCTCAGGCAGAGAAGTTGAGCTCAAGGGTATCATTCCCATCCACCCGTAAGGTGGGACCATTCTCGGGTGACAGGCACAGTGAGTCAGCTCATTTAATTGGGGGGAACAAAGGTTATTTAAACTTTAGGGAGTGAGTAGGGGTTCTTTGAGGAAAATGTATATTATTGACTGGAACCAGTATGCTAGGGATACTGACATATTTGCATAAAGAGACATTCCAGGTGCTTTTAAGGAGGAAGGAAGTTTAACCTGGCTACCAGGCTATGTGACCCCCTCTGGTGGGGCAACGTGCAGAGCCAGAATGTTGTGGGGGGGCAGCAAGGGACAATGAGCCTTCTACTGATCTCATGATGAGATAGATTTCCAGGGTTTGGAGATGCCTTGACCCCACTCTTGCCCCAGGCATGCTCCCACAGCCCTACTGCTCCCCCAAGGCTACATGGCATCCCAGGCCCCACATCAGGGCAGACTTGGTAGCATGTTCTGACCCTACAGGGAGTTCTGAAGTTTGAGGAACTTCTGAGAGTTGACCTAAGATTCAGCGACTATGCAGAACTTTATGTACTATGTCCCTTGATCATCAGAAAGGGGTATGGTCTGAGGCTGAGCAGGACCAGGGCCATTTCCAAAGGGGTAGCCAGAGGGATGAGAGCTGCTTCTGAAAGGGAGGTAGGCAGTAGGTTAGCATCCCAGAAGTAAACGCTGTTAAACCCCTTGTCTTGTTTACTATTGCTGTGACAAAACAGCATGACCAATGCAGCTTATAAAAAGAGTATATTAGGACCTTATAGTTTGAGAGGGTGACTCCATAACCACCACGCTGGGGAGCCTGGTGGCAGGCAAGCGTACGTGGTTCTGGAGCAATAGCTGAGATCTTATATCTGGATCCACAAGCACAAGGCAGAGAGAAAGCTATTTGGAAATGCTGTGTGCTTTTGAAACCTCAAAACATGCTTCTAGTGACACAGCTCCTAATCTTTCTCAAACATTTCCAAGGATTCAAGTCTATGAGCCTA